CCCCCCCCCCCCCCCCCCCCCCCCCCATCCCCCGGTTCACCTTCCTAACAGCGAGAGGCCCAGCGTCTGAGGAAGCAGGCGTCTCTCCGAGCGGACGAGGCTTTGAGCGAGGAGCGGGCGCGGGTGAGGGGCCGGGTCGAGCAAGCTCGGCGTCAGGCCATGGAGGCCATAGGCGAGGTAGGTGCAGGGCACGGGTGACCTCAGCTATGTGGGGTGTTGTTGGGGTGTTGTTGCTCTTGCACCCCTCGCGGTTTGTCCTTGCCTGTGTGCAGTCCGGGGTGAGGTTTTGGTTTGTGCTGTGTACTGGCGATACAGACAGCTGTCCCTCCCAAGCACTCTTCCCCTTGTTGGTTGATTGTGTGGGTAGGTCGCCCCTTGGCCCATGGGCTCAAAAGAACCGGGTTCAAAACACGCCCTGAAGGCTTAGCTTCCTTGTTCTTTCGTCTCTGAGCATCGGCAAGACTCCATGGATTGTGACCAGCATAGAGACTTTCTTGCGAGTCGCCACAGGAGGAAAGCGGAAAATAGCCACTCGAAGTTCTGATTTGAACGTCTTTGTGTTGTCTTGGCACCGACGGCGGTTGCGATGACCTCCCCACTGACAACCGACCGCTGCTAGAGGCGACAAGCGCTAACGGACAAGCACCAAGCCGACCTCGAGCGCTTGAGAAAGCGGGCAGCCGAGGAGGCAGAGACGCAGAGAAGGTACGACAAGGCGCGCACGGCACTCCTCGAATTCATCTAGGTGAAATAGAATCTTCTTCGTCTTCTTCTTAGTCAGCCACCGAGAGAGAGAGAGAGAGAGAGAGAGAGAGAGAGAGAGAGAGAGAGAGAGAGAAGGCGGCACGTGAAAAATGCAGTTCAATGTTCTCTGGACCTCCTGAAACCTCTCGTTCAAGCTGTTTCGGGGGCAGAAAATCCTTAAAAAAAAACATCTCCACCCCCACCCGCTCCAAAAATAGTACCTCCGGAACCTTGATCGGTTCACAAGCATTTGCTATCTCGGAAATCGTACAAAGGAAGAGATGCCCTCAAGATGCGTGCCAGGCTACTCAAATAAATCGCCTCCGTTACTTCACAGTCAGCCTCATCGGTAGCTAAAAACAGGAAAAACGATAGAAATGTGGCGAGTGAAAGGGGTATCCCGTGTTCCTTGACCAGTACCTCTGTCCGATCGCTTTTCACACCCCCCATCTCCTCTTCTCCTCGCACCCCCCCTTACTCGTCGCAACCACTCATTACAGCACGACCCATCATGTGAGAGACATTTACTACGTGATAACACGCTTCAATCGCTTCTCCCTCACCATTTTCCCCACAGCCATCGTGTGAGCAGCGCGCACGCACTGAGTTCGTTTGGTTTCCCCCCTACGTCGATTCCACGGCAGGTGGCAGGAGGAGGAGATGAGGAGAATGGAAGGCGTTTGCGCGACGGATCTAACGAGGTAACGAAACGGACGATCATGTCATATCCATCTTACTTCGGGCTTGCATGGTGCGCTGCAGGGCCCCCGGAAATGATGTAAAGAGAGAACCCAGTCCTCGAGCACAAGGGAGTGTTGCTCGTTGCCCAAGGGAAGCGCAGAGTGCCCGTACTATGGGGGGGGGGGCGTACTCATTTGTTGCTTGCCGTAGTCATTTGACCATTGACCACGCGTCCCTTTCGAGACGGAGCACCGTTCCTACACCTACTAGAGACACCACCAACATTTGGGAGCTCTTTACGTTTCTGCCACAAACTCCATAAAAATTTCTTGCACATCTTATCCCCGTCCTCTAGGGCCTGTTGTGCCCACCATCTATCCCCAATTATCGCGATCGTTTTTTCGCTGTTGTCTAATTTACCAATCTTGTCCATGTCACACCCTCTCTATGGGGGGGGGGGGGGTGTACTCATAGTCGTGCATGCCGTAGTCGTTTGACCATTGACCTCGCATCCCTACAAAGCCGGGACGGAGCACGCCGGGTTCTCACCGGACCAGGCTCTCACATCACCAAGCGCGAAGCGCCGTGAGGTATTTGGCGAGTCGCATGAAGGGTGAGCTGCATCCTGCTAAGGGTGTTCGGCATCTTGTGCTTACTTCCTTGCGTACGGATGACAGCTACGTATAACTTAATTTATTTTCTGGTGCTTTCACTTCCAGAGACAGTTGTAAGCACTGTGTAACTGCCTCGAGGAAGCTTGACCATTTTAACACAACGTGGTACGATCATCCCCCGTTGCGCGGAGTGAGGTTTCTCGACCCCGCACAACATGATCTACTCGACCACCATTATGGTTACCGCCAAAAAAAAAACCGAGGTAAAAAAAAAAAAAACGGTAACCTGGTTGCCGAGTTCACGAAGTGAATTGGCTTGTTTTACAACGTCGTTGCCAAGCGACGAAAACCCAACCCCGATGACAAACACCGGGGGGGGCGGCATGTTTTACAACGTCGTTGCCAAGCGACGAAAACACAACCCCGATGGCAAACATCGGGGGGGGGGGCGTACTATGGGGGAGGGAGGTTCAGCCACGGGTTGTCCAAGTACTTGCGGGAATGGTACTTGCAGGAACGACCTGCAGGGATGAAGCTGGTGAAAAAGAAACCACGACCGTAAGAACGAGACTCTTATATTGTTACGATTAGACCAAGAGAGTATGAACTCACTAAATATTGAAGCCGGGATGGGATCGGTGGTTTTCCGGATGAACAAGTACAGAGAGATCGCAACATGAGAGTTTCCTTTGTGGTGGGTTTTGTTTGGTCCAGGCGCTTTGTCGAGAGAAGAACACCAATAATTGGAGCACGAGACAGCAAAAAACAGTACTCCACCAGAGCATAGCCCTTAGAGCCTGATGCGCGTGGCCAAAGCTCGTTTGACAGGCAGGCAACGAACTCGGACAGTCGCCTTCCCCTCGCCACTTTCCCATCCTTCCTTGACCACCGCGATGAAACACGCACCGCAGGTTACGGAACGAGGAGCACTCGCGCCTGCAGGAGATGCGCCTCCAGCACGCGGAGGACGTCGACAAAGCCACCCGAAGGAGAGCCGCCACGCTCGCCTCGCTCACGCGCCAGGCGGAGCTAGACCGGGAGGACTGGGCCAGAAGGGCGAAAGAGGGGGCCTCAGCAGCGGGGGAAGAGGTGGGGATGTGGCATCCCCGCGTGTGTCCCCCTGTCCTTTGTGGTTGTTCAGGCCATGTATCGCTCTGGGTAGGGTCTATTCTGCCGCAGGTCCGGCACGGAACTGGGGAGCTGGCCATTCATTCGTGTCTGGGTGTATTGTTGAGAAATCCATGAGCTACTATCCTCGAACCGGGGTAGCGGTGACGTCGCCAGCCCAATGTTTGCGACCGAAAGGCACGTACGGTCTTTGCAACGTGGGATTGTTTGTCCAACTCCAGCTATCGTCAATGTATCGAAATCTCTATCCGCATGTGAGTTTGGTTGCATGTGCCCCAGGGCGAACTTCCCGTAGAGAGTTTGGGTCAAACCGCACGGCCACGGTTGGCCTGTAAGTTCTGTTGGGGGTGGGGGGGCGGGGGCTGTCGGATGTTCCTAAGCCCGCCGTGTCGAGCACCTTTGCGCTCTCTGTGAGGGGAAATCATGCCAGTTCCATCCGCGGGAGGGGCAGCACGAAACTGTCCTGTACATAGCGCTCCCGAATAAATATAGTGTACGTAGGTTCATAATCTGCCTTGGTAGAAGCTCCCGTCCGATTTCACGTCGTCGAGATTCACAAACCGGTCTCGATGGGCAGGCTCTCCGGTCGGAGAAGCAGCGGCTGATGAAGGACCGTGACAAGAGAATAGACGCTGCTATCCGCAGGATTCAACGGGAGCGCATCGAGAACGAGGAGACTTCTAAGGCCGAGGCAGAAAAAGAGGCACGCGTTCAGGAAGAGGTGAAGATGAAAAGTGTGTGTGTGACTGTGTAGAGCGTAAGCTCGCCACGTTGAGAAGTTGGCCGGTGGTCCCGTCCTTCCCATCTGAGCATCCGTCACTAAATACTTCGGGGCGTACACCGTTTGCTCTGCACTACCGCTCCGCTGGATAGCGTCTACTAGTCTGTGGTTTCTATCCGTACGTCCACATAAGTAGATCGATTTATGTACTGTCGTTCTCGGAAAAGTGTCAAGTGTAAAACACCCAGTACTTCGCATGAACGCATGTACTTTATGCGCTTTGGACATGAGCTTGTGCGGTCAACAACACCCGACCGAAGGAAGAGACCTAATGCAGTCCTTCGCGAGAGCGGTCAGTCCTAAAGTGAACCCTGTTCCTCGTCGTCTTGCTTGCGTGAATCTCGCTCGACAATGTATTCGTCGCGTGCCGACAGTCGCATGCGCAGGCCAAGCGGCTGCTAGCCGAGAAGCAAGGGCAGTGGGAAGAGCGTCATTCCGAGTGCACCGACGTCTTGCACTCACTCGTCGACACCAGGTACTACTCTGTGTAGGTTTTGTCGCAAGAAAAAGGAGGATCCCATGATATAAAGGTACAGTGTAGGTTTTGTCGCAAGAGAAAGGAGGATCCCATGATATAAAGGTACAGTGTAGGTTTCGTCGCAAGAAAAAGGAGGATCCCATGATATAAAAAAAGAGCGTAGTACGTACGTGCAACAGGTTGTGGTATCGAGGATTTTGCGCAGTTGGTAGATGACCAGCACTCCTTTGTAGGAAGAAAAAAATTGGAATCTTTGGGGCTAGTGTTAGGTAATCATTAGTTAACCCGTGCTCGACGGTGGCGACGAATAAGAACTCTTTTTGCTCCATGGTCCGTAATCCCCGTTCTTTGGGGCAGCGAGGGGGGGTAACAAGGGCTCTCTTGGCTTGACCGTCCAGGCAACCCGCCGGAGCGACAGTTTGGCTAGAAGCACATGCTTAGCTCCCACGCCCCCTTACTCACCTAGCGTGAACGACTCGGGACGAGCGTGCGCTAGCTTTTACGGTTTGCGTTTGCGTCTTGACTGATTGTGCCATGCCCCCTATTACTACCGGCCTCCCCAGGCGGGAGCTTGCCCTGAAATCTCGAGAGCTAACCGCGGAGCAAGGGATCCTTTCCTTGAGGGTGCAAAAGGCGGAGGGGGCCAACAAGGAGGGAGCGAGCGCGGCTAGAGACGAGGAGGCGCAAGTTCTCAAGGAGCACCAAGTGCGTCGTGTTTCCTTGTCTCGTTCTCTAGAAAAACCTCAACAATTTGGGCAAAATACAAAGAAAACCCGTTAGTCCTCAAGATGTGAACCGCTACTTTATGGACGGAGTCGCCTTGACGGGGGATAATTTGATGTCATGCGACGATATGTTGAGGCGCTGAAGATTGTGAATTTGACAGGCTCCTCGGTGCACTCTTTTTCTGTCACGATGTACCCCTCCAAGGCGATGCAGGCATCGCGAATCACGCTGTGCTATCAAAGTTGTCGTACGGCAACTGGTCCCATTTTCGGGCGCTTGTCGGATAACATCGGACCCGAAGGCAACTCCCACGAACCCAAGCTTGCATGTTTCGGAAAAGCGCCGCACAGATGGATGTCGAGCCTACAGTCAATATGATCGTCGAAGACCCCCTGCGTTCGAGTCATCTTGTTTGTAGTGGTAGGAATATGACACTTACGGCATGGCTTCACGTCGTTCACAACCCAAACTGCAGGAGCTCATGTCCGAAAGCCGTCTCAGGAGGGCGGAGCTGGAACAGAAAACCAAAGACCACGAGGCGGAGTCAGCAGGGATGCAAGCCAGGTACAACCTTCTCCCTGCTATTTGCCTATTCGGCTGGCCCAGCACTTAGTTGTAGAATATGGTAGTGTGGTCGATGATATCCGTTCTCACTGATGTAGGTTCCGCAGGGGTTGTGGCTGTAAATTACACAATTGAACAAAAGTATCCCCCGCCACCTTTCTCTCCCGACAACATCGCGAGATTCTCAACGCCGACGGGGGTACAGACGCTGCGGTAATCGTCTAGGAAATCACTAATTTACAAGTATTATTTAGTACTTGAGACTATGGAGCAGCTAACGTCTACGGCGGTATCCACCATGACACACAGGAACCGGTCTGAGTCTTCACGTCTTCGCGAGGAGCACGACGAGCGTCTGGAGGCTCTCCACAAGGAGGTCAAAGAAAAGGTGACAAACCCCATCAAACGAACCCACTTGCTTGGCTTTTGCCGCCAAACCTTTGTGTAGCAACACCGTTCATCAAGACGAATACCGTAGGCCGTGGTACTGATGTCAACGTTGAGCCATTGTCCCGTTAGGGGCTAGCGTGCAACCCGACATAGCACTGACCGCTGATCACCTGTGCTTCTCGCGCCGAAGCTCGGTTTCGTGAGACCCTCCACCCCGAAGATGCTTTGCTCAATCAAGCGTACTTCTCGCATCATTGCGTTGTGGCAGAGCAACGAAGGAAGCGTATCCTACGACATCATCGATAGTTGTTGACGCAGGAGACATGTAGATGACGAGATATATATACTTTTTTAAGTCGTTGCGAAACAAATGCAGGAGCATACCGAGCTCGGTGGAACGAGAAAGGGGCACTATGAGGAAATGAGGACGATACGGACAGCTTACAGCCTGCGGCCTTAAAATTTGGCTGAGATCACCGAACCATCGAAGAACAAAAAAATCCCGTTGTCCTCTCCAGGCTGACTCTACTGATTGACTCCCGACGAAATGTTTCACCGAAAGCAGGTGGCTTCTCAAGACGATGAAATCTCGTCCCTGAGAGAGGCAGTTCACACGGAAAGCCTTCGGGCGGAGCACGCGTCCAAAATGCTGGCGAAATATGTCAAGAGAGCTGCGGCGGCGGCCGATGCAGGTGCCGGTGCTTCGCATGCTGCTGCTGTCGGTGTCGCTGCTCCCGGCGGAGGTGGAAGCGGTACCATCGCGACTCGGAGCCCCGCCAGCATTTCTGCCGGCCCGAGAAACGGTACTGGCGGCTCGGCGAGACAGACACACACGCGCCTGCGCTAGCAGAGGATGGACTAACGCAATAGGGCGAATCGTACCTGAGTGAACCCCCCGTCCCCTCTCCATTCAGTCTTCCCCCCCTCCCTCAACAAAAACAAAAACTGGTGTGCAGAAAAGCATGGGATATCCACCATCTACTACATACCTCGGGGGTGGTTCTGAAGAATCGCCCCGGCACGCAACGGGAGATCTTTGGTCGAAATACGCTTGATTCGGGCAGATGGTCGGTTTCATGTTATTTATCAAGTAAATACTCAACACTCGAGGATATAGACGGTGGTTTGACTCCCGCCTGAACCAACAGAAGAAGCACCTCGTCTGACGGATAATGTCTCACCCTCATGGGCGTACATCGGCTTATGGGATATACTCTGTGTCCAAAGGATTCACCTGGTGTTCCCTCGAGGCATATCTATGGGGGAGCGAGAGGGACGTATTTGCTCCTTGACACGTAAGGCACTTCGCAGGGTTTCTCTATGGACGGACGTCCACAATGATACCGTTCCATTACTTGTTACAACATCGGACCTGTTTCCATCAGGATCCGGGATTGTGCGACTTCAGCGTCTCTGTGCGCATGTTTGTTGTTTCAAGCGCGTCAGAGGGTTTGGTGAGGTTCTTGTGCGGGCGGTGGACCAGCCCCAACCCAAGCCTTCGGGGTGCATTATGATGGAAGTCTTCGATCTGGGGGCAGTGGTGTCAAGAGTATGACTCATGTTGTTCATTTATGGGCATTCCCCCCCAACACACAGGGCAACCCCCGCCCCGAACCTTTAGACGCCGGCCCCACGACTGGAGACTACTTTGATGTTGGTGCGGTATCTTCATCCGTTATCACACGAATGTTTAGCAAGGTCAACGTTCGGTACGGGCGAAGGTACTCGCGATAGCCAAGCAGTGCGATGCACCATCAGCAAAGCAATTTCAACGCAGTCACAGGCACAACTGATTGATTCTGATTGTTCACGAGACGTGCCACAGACTGACTGCTCTCTCCGTTGTTCGGTATTCCTTTGCGAAGAAATTGGAAGTTCGGCGTTTCGACGTGGGGGGAGGCTCCACAGTGCTGCTCTGTCGCGGCCTTGTTGCCCTTTCTACGGTGCTCGTACGTATGTGGAAGTTATCAAACAGTCGAGATATCCCCGCCGATTTGCACGTCATCCAGTACGTTTAGCGGCATCTCCGACGTGTGCAGGGACTGAACTGAACAAATTGCAGTCAAATGCATATGCTGTACACCAATCGACTTCGTGCATCGAACGACGCCACATCGTCAGCGGACTGGGCGATGAACAATTCTCGGCGAGTGCTCGTGCTCTGGGTCGAAAAAAGTGAGAACCCACCGCAGACTTGTCCAACTGCGTGATCATGACCCGCATCAGCACAAGCACAGGAGCGGCAAGGTTGAAACGTGCGGCCCAAACATCCTTGGGCACGTCTACTAGACCCAGCCATGCTGCTCGTGCGCAAAGCGCAAGAAGAGCACTGGATTCCAGGGCGCTGTGTGCCCCTGTTGCTCATTTTTTTTTTTTTTGTTAAACTTTCGTTTTTTTTAGTCCTCGTCATCAGAGAGGGGGCGGCTCCGGCAAGAACCGACCCCCTATCGGCGTAGATTGCCATGCACTAAAACCTTCTCAGGCAAAGAGACACTGCAAGCTGTTTAGCTCCCAAACACCCCAACAATCCAACCCTTAGAAACCTCCAAACTCGAGGCCAAAACACCCTCGGCATGCTCACACAATTCCTTCTCCACACGCAAAAGTGAAGAAATGCACACACCTGAGCGCACACGAAAACGAAAGGTCTCTCGTAAAGAGAAAGGGTAAAAAAACCGCAAGTGAATGGTAAGAGTAAACAATTATCAGCTGCGGGTCCCCCCGCAAAAGTGCGCCGTTGGAGGGCACCACCCGGCATCAGCCCGCTCGGAGAAAGGGGTCTGGGCAGGGGCGGGGGAGACGCAAACATCGTCGTCGTGATCCCAAGAAGTTCTTAGAAGAAGATCTGGTGGACCGGGCCCATGGTGCTCTTGACGTACATCACCTGGACAAACGAGGGGGCGGGGAGTAGGGTTGCATAGATGATGAGTGAAGGGGTTAATGCGGTGTCGAGCGTGGCAACGTCAATAAGCGCATAAAACAGCACCGGTATATGAAGTATCTTGCCGGTAATACAATACGTACTCGGATCGCGCGTACGTCTACATGATACCACTCCATCCTTGACAAAGCAAAACACCAGGCGCGGGCCGACTACCCCTCTAACCGTGTTGCATCTCGTGCACGGTGGAGCCCCAGTCAAGCTTGCTCGCCACAATCGCACACCCTTTGCAAGAGCGAGCACCAGAGCTGCATACAATGGCGGCTACGGTTTAAGAGAGACTATTTAAGAGAAAGTACCGATTTAAGAGAGTCAAACTGGCTTGTCACGACTATGAGAAATTTCACAGCACGGCTTGAGAGAAAACCGGATTCAAGAGAGAAATACTTGCTTGTCAAGACCCTCTCTAAAAACCGTAGCTGCCACTACTGTACACGATACCAATCTCCAGGGAGACAGACGGCCACGAAGCCAACACTTGCAGCAACATCCTCTACCAACGGAACGAAATGCCTTATAGCCTTCTTTAGGGGTTTTCTATCAAGTAAACATGTTGGATAAAGCATGCAATCGGGGAAGTTGGGTTAGGGTTAGGGTTGGGGATACGGTGTGCGTAACCCCCTCCCTATTCTATTTCCTCAAAATACTGAATTTCCCGAGAAGGCGGTCCACGAAATGGCACCACTCTAATAACTAACCTTGATGTTCTGCCAGTTCTTCTTGAGCAGGGAAGCCAAGAAGTTGGCGGCCAGCTGCACGTTGAGCTCGATCTCGTTCTTGGGCTGTTCCACGTTCGCCACGGCCACCGAGAGGCACATCACCTATTACGCAACGGTTGGTTGCAGCGGTTAATCGCGTCACGTCATGGGACAAGTCAGCACCAACACGTATCTCGTCGGCACCTACTACAGAACAGCTGTAACGGCCGACAACGTCACGTCATGGGACAAGCGAGCATCAACAGGTCTCTCGTCTCTCGTCGGAGAGGTTGGACATTCTGTGAATGTGGTCGCCGGGTGCATGTCTTTCAGCACATCATACCAGGTACAGCAGTGCGTGTGACATCGGTAACTTTCGTTACCACGCAACCCAAACTCTTACTTCCTGGTGTACCTCGCGTGCCCCCCCCACAGCACGGACGCCGACGTGGTATGTCGAGAGAGGCGCCGGCGTCTGATCACCGAAAGTCGACGATCCTCAGACACAAAGACCCTGACCACAACCTACAAAGCAACCCCACCATTTGCGAGGCCTCTACATGGTCCAACGACCACGGCATGCATTTACATGAGTAACCCCCCCCCCACCCACCCAACAAGCGGTGTCGATTTCCCACCTTCTTCATCTGGAACTTGATCGTGGCACGCACGGTGTCGACCTTGCTCTGGAGGTTGTCTCCGGCGTTGACGAGGGTGGGGAACTTACCAGCCTTGGTAAGACCGGGGCCCAGCAGACGGGGGATCTGGGGAAGCAAAAAAAAAAAAGTGGCTCGGGATGTCACGTCTCACCCGAGTATGCCTACAGTCACATGTTTGCTTGTTGGGGACTTCTCACGTATTCTTGAGCGCCTTGTTGCCGGGGAATCGCAATCTGTACCGACCTGTAGTCAATGAGGTATTTCGTGATAAAAGGGAAAACCACCCTTTGGCGTTCGATGGCGTCACCCTAGGGATACTCGAAGCGGCTTCGGGTAGCCGTACAGTGTTTTTCCTTCGTTGTTAGAGACTGCAGATATCTTCTCTGGAAAAGCTACTGTTGTATTTTGGTGGTAGGTACACGTGCGAGTTTATCAACAAATCATCCCGATCCCGATGCAGTAGTGGTCCCGCCATTAATGCCGGTAGGTGCCAAACCGTAATCGTTCAGACAATTAAACAACTTGAAATTGCATCTGTGTCACGACATTTCACGGGTAGTAGATACCGTGGTGCAGGGCAACCGGCAGTATCCCGGGACCACTACTGTGCCTCCAACACAGAGCGGTACAGCAGTGGCATTCCAACCACGGTGTCCTGACCTGCTTGATGAGAGAGTCCGAGGCCAGGAAGGCGTCGTACTTCTTGGCGAACTTCTTGATGAGGTTCTTGTTCTTGTTGAACTTCTTCAGGTCCTCCACCGACATGCGGTCGAGGCCGATCTGCTCAGCCTGTTGGTCGTGCCGTCGTCGAAGGTCGATTTCGCAACAGTCATGTCCAAGCACACGACAAAGAACGAGCAAGGGATCAGGAAGTGGAGACCAAGCCAGCACAGCAAGAAATACTACAAGAGATTGGAAAAAAGCTGGGGTGCCGTGTCGTAAGTGGGTACCAAGCGGACGAACCGAACGGCGGAAGACACAGTCAAAAACACAAGCACTCGTTCATGTACCCATCAGCATTACGGTATTCAGTACCCCGACCCCGCCTGAAAAACATCGGCTCGGAAGGGTCAAGTCCCTGCTGTGCGAGAGCATCATTTACTTTTCATTTTCGTCATGCCATCGAATGAACCACTTTTGTCTCGTCCATCAATCACGATAATAGACAGCAACAGACAGGAAAGAGTGGCCCATCGAACAACATCCAGCAAAGTGACAAATGGGCGTTCTGCGCATAAAATAACCCTGCCGCGGTTTCCTTCCAACGCAAAATCACCACATAGCGCGAGCGTGCACAGCAGTCCGATGGGGGCTTTGCCTGAGAAGCTGTTACGAAACATGCCACTGACTGCCCGGGGAGCATGCGCAGGACTCGATACTAGCGTAAATTCGCTGCTCATCTGCTACACGCATGAACTACGCATGATTTGTGGTGATAGCTTCAGCTCTCACGCTGTTGTAATGCCCTCAATACGGATGGACATAACGTTCGAGACCCATGCTGGAGCGTATACCATCTAAATAAGCGTCCTGCTGTTGATCCCCCCTCCCCCGGCTCGCGCCTCTCACCTGCTCGCAGTGCACAGCGTTACCCAGCATGCAGAGCTTCATCCGCGGGCTGCATGGTAGGAGAGTCCGTTTCCAAAACAGGGGCACGAATGTGTTGGCGCCGTAGGTGTCGCATACAGACCAACGTGACAGCAGTGCGCCGCACGATGGATTTGCCACGAACCACCAGCAAAGACAGTCGCGACGCGGGACAGACACACACACAAAAAGGAGTCAGCACGTCACACACAATGCACAGCAGGTAATATTAATGCCGCAAGAGGTGCTCCACTGGAGAGCCTTCGCGCACAGAGGCAGCCCCAGGCTGGGAGGATGGCGCTGTATCCCCCTCCCCCCTACTCCTATTGGAGCAACAATTTCAGGTGGGATAGAGCAATAGCTTTGGCCACCGAGTGCAGAAAGCCGCCCATACTTGATTGCACGCTGGTGCTTTGCTCGGGAAGTCGCACTACAACAGCATCGAACCAACAGCACACAGGCGCGCACCCGCGGAGCATTCATGCCGCATACAAGTATGGTACACAGCAGTGTTCGCTCAACACATGTATTCAACAGCGGCAGAGTGTAGTCTAGTCTAAATGGAGGCAATTATTTACGAACTCACCGGGGGATGGTGGGCAGCTTGAAGGTTCCGGAGAAACGCTTGTCGCGCTGGGGGTCGTAGTTCTTCAGGGTCACCTACGGAATCCGCGGAAGCCAAGCGAATAGAAGCAAGACATCAAGGCACACTATTATGCTCCTCACTATTATGATTAGTCTTGAGACGAGAGTTTTGATGTGGCGTCGTCATGTTCGGTTGCAGAGCTGGGAGGCGGATGTTTGGCAACGTGTGCGAACAAGACGAGTCCTAGTTTTACCAACCCGACCAGCAATCACGAGTGCGTTGGACTACACCAGAATGGCAGGTGCTGTGCTCAGGTGCCTACGGGCTACCTCTCAGCACGTGTGCACAGAACTCAGCCAGGTTGGCAGGGTGAGGCTGGTGCCAAAGGTGTCTTTGTTTGGGTTTCGATGGCCGAGATTGCTTCTCTTGGGCGTTTCGATGAAAGCGTCGGGAGGGTTCAAAAGACAGCGGGCCAAACAAAACCCCAAGGAGAGCAACGATTGGAAAACAAGCAGTGCTGTACTGCTGCTGCACATAATTTTCCGGCCCAGGTGGTACCTGAACCCCACGACGCGTGTGTGCTACAACAATGGCGTTGTGCGTCCAAGGCTGGCTTGATGTGCTTTTTTAGTAAGAGAAAAAATCACCTGGAGCTCGATGGACTCGGTGAACTTGCGCTTCTTGCCCACGATCTCGGTTTCACCCTTCTTGATGGTCTCCCCGGCCGAGAAGGCGAGGATGTCATCCACAGCCTTGGTTACGAGTTCGCTGTTCAGCTTGCTACTCATCTTTGCCAGAAGTTGCTCGTTAGAGCGAGGACTGACACACGCGCCTCTCCAAAGCCACCCAACAGAGAGCAGGGGCCCCGTAAAATGCCAAAATTGGGGCAAGGTATCTCTGTTTGTAATTCAAGTGACGTGCCCCTACGTAACAAGCTGCGCACAAGCTGTTCTGGGTGAGTAGCAGCAGCGGCGGTGCGGAGCAGAGCTAGCCAGAGCGAGTATGTGGTAGTGAGAGGGAGTTGGTGGGTAGCTGTCTGTGTGTGGCTCTCCACGCCTCTGGGGACTACTTGAGGCGGCTTCTAATTCCTAAACTGGGTCTACGAGGAGCATCGCAGCGCATAGTCTGTCTGTTGATCTCGGCGTAAAACATGATGCGACCACAGAGGCATGGGTCTTGGAGTGCTCAGGACGACCTCAAGGTCGGGCGGCACACCGTGCGGCTCAAGAGGAGCCTTGGAGAAGGAGGCTTTGCCTTCATACACCTGGTGGAGGTGAGAGGCTTGTCCGCTTGTTGGCGCTCTCGCAATACAACAGGACAAAACGGACCTCTCTGGTCTATCCAACGGTTGTCTCACTACTGCTGTTCGTTGTGTTTTGTGGGGGGGCGGCAACACGGCAGTCAGCGTCCATAGAGCATACGGGAGCTTACACCTAGGGACACGAAAGGGCCAGGGTTATGGGTGGCCCATTGGATTGTGTGTCGGCGTCTGTCCCAGTGAGGAACGGCATAGCAGAAACTTGCCCGCAGGATCACGGAACGTGCTACAAAAGCAGCCTTGCATGTTACCTTTCTTTCCGTGTGGCGCCGAACGTATGTAGACTATATGTTTTTTTCATGCACACAGCCCTTTCGCCGAACCGCCTCGCTACTGCTGTAACACCAACCGCACGGACGGCAGTGCCGCCCATCCCTTGGCGGCAGGTAAAGATTGTTCAGCAGCAGCAGAGCTTCAACGCTTTTGCATCACATTGTGCAAGATGTAGCCCGGCTGGAAACGACGCAGGTGTTGGAATTTTCCCCGCGCCGGCATGTGTCGAGCTTCCGGGGGGTCCCGGTTGTGGGTGCTGAGGCCATGCAAGGCATCATGCAAAGATCAATTATTCGTCCACCGCCCAAAGTCCACCGACCCGCTTGTTGTGCTTACGTTGTTGTGCAAGCGCCGTCGTGCGACACGGCAGTGTGGCGAGGCCAAGAACGTCCTTCTTGACTCCCTTCCCGCCAACGGAACATGTGGCATATTCGGCGCTCCTGTAAAATGACGCAAGGAGTGTCAAAAATTTCTGTACCGCACCAGTCGTGGCGCACGTAGAATATTCTAACATGCAATGTAGAGAATGCGGCTAAATTAACCCTGCTGTCCCCTGATTAATCTTACCCGACCCCGACTGGTCCATGCCACCGGGGAGCGTAGATATAGAGAGCGCAAAACGCTCTGCTCTGCGTGGACACCCGAATGCCGTGCAATCTCCACGTCGTGATCGTAAAGAGTTTTTGTGTCAGGGTGAACTGGCTAGAATTTTCAATTGTTCCGCCGCTCAAGCAATCCTACATCGCTGACGTGGCTTCTGCCTTAGTACTGCTGTGCAGTGAGAGGGAACCTACACCCTAACCAACCCTTAACCTAATCCTAACCCTACGTCTGGGGGTATGTACTGCATATGTGGAGGGCGGTTGCAATCGGGTCGCTTGCTCACAGCCGATCCTCTTTTGGGTGTGGAAGAGCACCGTTTTTGCCCCCATCGTTGTTGGGATGAAACCTAGAGCCGTGTGCGAGGCTGGCTGATTTTCGCTTCGATTGTTTCCAGTGTAGGTTTTTCGAACTTGGCCGCAAGAGGCGCCCCGGTTAACGTGCGGTAGGGAGCTGGGAGTGCTGTTTTTGGAGCACACGTGCTCCCTGCCTGGAGGTGCCGAGTTGATTGGTGCAATTGTAGTGTCTTTCTTGAAGGCTTGGGGAGTCCCGGCGTATGTATGCCCAGCAGCGTCAAACTTTGCGAGACCTGGGCCCTTGCGATTACATATGCGCATGTTCAGGGTGCCCCGATTGCATGCTGTTGACTGCTTGACAGTAGGTAGCACAGGATCGCAACAGGTGGTGGGTACACGCGTTCGTGCGTGCATGAGTGTTTTTATTGTTCTTGGCTGTCGTGTCCGGCTGACCAATGAGGAGACGTCGGTGTCATTGAGTTGAACACCACCATCTCCTGAAGCGAGCCAGAGCTCGGCATTTTTGGCCAAGCTCAGGATGCACTGGTAGAACTCTTTGCAAACCACGTCAAGGCACACACAAACGATACTGAAGCCTCGATCGAGCTTGTGCGTTCATGTGTTCGCTAGCTATGCAAACCGACTGAGCAATGATCAGGCCGTCTGTGAGTTTGTGTGTGTTTCCTTTCTTCAGCATCGACCGTGCTATCCGGCTGACCAATGAACATCCGTCAGTCTCGAAGCGGGAAAATAAACGCGCGGGCACGCGTTCGATTCCGCGGGACCCCTCAATCAGGGTCCCGGCGGAGGAGGTTGTGCGCCCTGGGTCCTGTCTCCATGTTCAGCATTCTTGTGGAAGACACTACATTGCTACGTGACACTAATCCGGCGGTACATGCCTCTCTGTCCGACTACATGTGTGTATGTCTTTTTTCAACCGACAGTATTCGTGCTTGCGCATGCTATACGGTTGATTTCTCTCGCAAAGAGAGCTTGCCCACGTGTTGGTCTCCGTCTGTCACATACTTCGTTCGGCGGCTTCTGTCTTTTCCCGGGAGTTGTGCTTTAACGCGAACGTCTTGCCTACCTCCTGCTTTTGTATTTCACGCCCGTCTCTTTGTGCAGGATGTCAACACGGGACGGGCGCTAGTCCTGAAGCGGTCGAGCCTGCAGAGCCACGAGGGCAGGGTGGTCTACGAAAAGGAGGCGTCCATCATGCGCTCCCTCGCTCACCCCAACATTGTGCAGGTGGGCATGGACGTAGCCGATTCTACGGTTCCCCCTTATGTTGTAGCTTTTTGCTACCCATGGTGACAGACAACACCATTGTTGTAGCTCTTTACTGTTTTCTGTTGGTGTTGGTGTTGGTGTTGGTGTCGTCGTCTTAGTTTTTGTCGTCGCCTTTGTCACCCATCCCGCTAGGCCACCCGCCTTCGTCCCATTTTTCTTCCGCTTTATAGGGCTTGCAAGATTTCATCCGCTCGACACCCAACCAACTCACCGGAGAGCGAGTGGCACGCGTTGGTTCTTGTTTGTGAACGGGCATGGTCCTTCACGGGCCTACCTCCCACTCGCGCTCGGCGCACACTTCCATAGCCCTTCCAAAAAGTTTTTTTTTACGGCGATGATGGTTGTTGCCAAGAGCGGAACAAGCTCCGTGGACACATTTCGTTGCGTCACGACAAAGCAGAGCTTAGACGTGGAGTGTTATTTATCTCTGCGTCACGACACAACACAGCTTAGCAACGTGGACACGGCACAGCAGAGCTCAACGTGAAGTGTGTATCGCTGCGTTACGACACAACAGAGCTGAAACCTGGAGTGTTACACACATCGTTGCGTCAGATCGTCACCGCGGTGGAGCTGCAGAGCTCCAAAACGGGCGCCATCTTGATGGAGTTTTGCCCACGTGGACACCTCCTCGAGGCGCTCAACAGCCTCGGCGGGAAGCGCATGGAGGAGGAGGCGGTGCTTTCGGTGATGTGCGACATCGTGAGGTGCGCTGCCGTGTACAGCCCCTCCCGTTGTCCTTGCGAGCGGCGCAGCTTTTTTTGCCGCCCTGGAATGGAGGCAGTAGGCCGTCCTTTTTGCTCTTTCCCGGAGCTGGTGTGGATGAGCTCCGTTCCCTCCTAGTATGAGGATAACAGCAGTAGTATTTGAGATCTCGACTGGTACGTATGTAAGAGAGGACAGCCGGTGTGGGATGCTTTTTGTTGCGATCGAGAACAACTCTGTCATCTTGATGTTGCCATGCTTATTATTTTATTTTTTTCAGTATTCTTGATTGTCATCTACAAGCTCCAACACCAGCACGTGGCCATGGGTTAGACTTTACGAAGGGCATATACAACACCACGGAAAATGGTCACTGTGTGCTGGTATCCGTGTACATCTGATAACATCCACGTAGGTTTCAAACAACCGTGGCGCCTCGGGCACTATGTATGTGAGCACGCCGCGACAGGAAGGAAAGGTACCACAACTTACAGCGAGTGGTGGAAGGAGTGTGCTTAGCTGGCGAAGCTGTAGGCAATAAGTAGTGCGTGCCTATTAGCACTGGTGTGATGGGGGTAGAGAATCGCCACAAGCTCATTCTTGCGAAGTCGTTCTGCGGGGTGTGCAGTGCCCCACCGACCCGCTCTTTCAAGGTTTCCCCTCCTTTCCGAACACAAGCCGCGACCCCCCCCCCCCCCCGTGTGTGTGTGCGCGGCCCTGTTGTCTTCCAGTGCTGTTAAGTACCTGCATGATAAGGGCATCACCCACCGTGACATGAAGCTGGAGAACATCCTCAGGTCTTCCTCTGGACCCCACAAGCTTTGCGACTTCGGCTCTTGCGTTCAGGTGTGCGCTGATGGCGGCGTGTCCACCTTTGCCACACGATGGCGATGCGTTCCTGTGTGGTGCCTGTCTACTTTGCCGCATGATCGCCACTGCTGTTGCGGTGCTTGCGACCCAAAGATTGTGGTGTGTCCATTTTGGCCACATGATGGATGCCGATGTGTCCCCCCTTCGGTGCCTGCGACGATCGTTGCGGCAGGGTCGAGTGCCGCTGGACACGGCCGAGCAACGAGCCAACGAGGAGGAGGTGGTGGAGAAGACGACGACACAGATGTACCGCGCCCCCGAGATGGTTGACCTGTACCTTGAGAGGGAGCTCACGGAGAAAGTGGACATTTGGGTGAGTATGCAGCAGTTGTTGTCGTCGCCTCCACACTAGCAACCGTTCCTTTTCTCCGGTCAGTGCTGTACCTTCTAATATCCGTACTGGTCCAACTGACGCGGGCGCCTACGACGGGGCTGTTTTTGTTTATTTTTGTCTCGTCGCACACGTACGCAAGTGCTGCCGTGAGGCTGGTCGACTGAGTGTTGCAGCGACGTGGATGTCTGCAACGGTTGTACTTTGTTGGTGGGTGATGGCCAATGGTGAGGGGAGAGGGTTGGAAGGCCGGCGGTTTGCCCCGTATCCGTCCTCTGCCACGACACCTTTTTCTGTTTCTTTACCAAATCCCCTGGTTGCTGATTGGTGTGACAGAACGCGACACCATCTAAGAACCTGGGAGTGAAGAACTCTGGCTCGAAAAGAGATGTCACTTCCAAGAGCTTGACTGACTATACAATCGTCTCGAACGAAACAGGTGCTCAGCAGTTACTGCTGGGTTACCTAACGGAGAATAGACAAGCACCTAGCCCCGGGAAAACGTGACCTTCCCTATGTACTCGCTCTTACGTCCTCACTCTCCCTCGACTAGCTCGAATGGTGCTCGTTTTGGCTGTTGGTTGCGTCTGTGCCCACCCGAGGTTTGCCTTGCCCGCACTCTGCATCAGTTCATCCCACTCCCCCGTCCCTCCTGTTTCGTGGACCGCTGCAGGCTCTAGGCTGCATACTCTACGCCGTGTGCTACCTGAAGAACCCCTTCCAGGATGCCGGAAACCTGGGGATTCTGAACGCAAAGTGAGACGTTGCCCAGAGGGTGCCGTCCTTATTGAGTTGTTGGTTATCTCGTGCCTCGCTGACTGCCGCGGGGGCAACGGTGTTCCCCGTAACGCTTGCCGAAGCAGTTACAGTAGCGCGCTCTGGGAGTTGGTGAAGACTTGATGGCGTTTGTGTTGACGTATGAATCCCTGGTACCCGCTGTAGTGCGGGATGGCACCCGTTGGGTGGTTGTGATGGAAGCGCGCCCGTCTTGACACTCACGTGCTTCTTGACACTCAGAGCATTGTCGTTGATATAACCATGGCTTGCCATCGCCACGGCCGGGTCGCACGCCGCGCTACGCGCCACCAGCGCGGTCCACATCAAGCGGATTCCCCGGCCGTTCTCCTCCCCCTGGCCGTCTTTCATACGACTGCGGTTCAAAATTGTGTTCACTCGCTGACTGCATTTGTTGTTAAGGTTGTGCGAAGATCGGAAGAGGATCAGACTCCACACGCCGGTCACCAGTCGTCCCGCCAGGTCCCCAACCAGCGTTGGCGAGTGCTGCAGCGGTCTACTCGCACGCACGGCCCGTGCCCATGTACTACCCTAATCCACATTTCCCGTTTTTTTTTTTTCTCACCACCTACTGCTGTACGCTGTACACGCCCAGGATTCGCATCCCCGACGACTCTGTTTTCTCTTCCGGCTTGGTGGATCTCATCCGGCGCTGCCTCACCGCGTCACCAACTCACCGACCGAGCGCATCCGAGGTATTTTCTTGGAAATTTCCCAGCGCTGCTGCTGGAAGAACGGGCTAGGACTGGCTACGGGTTAGGGTGGGCTTCAGGGTTGGGTTAGCGAAATATCTGGCCAATTGTTGTCAGGGTTATTGCAGCAAGAGCTGGTGTGTGGCGTAACGGTGGGTACTGTAGCGCTTGCCCGGGAAAGACTTGATGGCGCGCCTCTTTAAGTTAGTGAGCATTTCACGCTAAATAGATGACTTTTCTACCCTACCATGCCTTAATGTGGGCAGGGGTCCGTTGGGCTCGCTTCAGCAGGATGGTTCCGGGAGGACGAGTCGGCGCGATCTTCCTCGCAGTATTGCACAACTATTCACGTCGCTCTGCCATGCCCCCCCCCCCCCCCCCCCCCCCCCCCCCCCCCCCCCCCCCCCCCCCCTTAAAAAAAAAAACAAAAAACAAACCTTTCATCCTCTTTTTTAAAAAAACCCACCCCCTCCCCCCCCCCCAACACAAAAAAAAATC